TATATATATTTGTGCCAGAAACCTCTCCTATATATTTTTTAAAAAGTGTTAAAATTGCAAAAATATATTTGGTACTTTTTCCTATGCATTTAAATCACATATTCAATTCATTTTGTATTTATGCACAATTTCTCATTTTTGGAAATAAAGAATCACTGTCCCCAATACTGCTGTCATTACCTTTACGGCAAGTTTCTCCAAGAAAAGTTTGCTATTTAGTTATTGAATTCGAAAGCTTATTCAACACCATCAGATGAAACATACAAAATCCACACCATCATGCATTAAACCAAACATACATTTGAAGATTAAGACCATGAAACTTCATAACAGAAATCAAAACGACAGTGGTGTGCCCTGCGACAGAGAAGCATGTTAAGAAGTATTTGCATCAGGAGGTTTTTCTGGTTGAAGAATCAGGAGAGGATTATCGTAACCTCACCCTACCATACATCAGCAGCCAGAGCTTCAGTGTGCAGGTGAGGCTTCACTGACCTCTGACCCTTCATGTCAGTATTGTTCCTGTCCCATGTGTATCCTTCTCATATGAAGAACATAAGTGCACTGCCCATCTTTCATTTTGGTTTCAGTGGGTGCACAACATATTGGAGAAGAAAGCCGAGGCTGATCGGATTGTTTTCGAGGATCCAGATCCCGATACTGGTTTTGTTTTGTTTCAAGTGGGATCAAAAGCAGGTAAATCTGAGGTGAATCAGTGTCATAATATTTAAGGGTGAATAAAAGGCCAGTGAAAAACAATGAATGTTTCCTTTCCTCTCCAGCTACAAGACCTTTATTTGATTGCTATCGTCCACCGGAGGGATGTTAAAAGTTTAAGGGATCTTACATCAGAGCACCTGCCGTTACTCACAAACATTCGCAGTAAAGGAGAGGTGAGTTATGGAGCATATGAAAATCAAAAAGATTTTTCAAAGTTGTAATTAAAACAAAGATTAATGCAATGCATTTTACAAGAAAATACTATTTCAGTCTTTCTTCTTCAAAGGTGATTCAATGTTTTATATGCTGTTTCTTTGAAATTAATTGTGTTAATTGTTACTAGCAGTTTCTGAGTGAGAATTGTTTCTACATCCTTGTTTTTTTAGTGTACAAATGAGTTTCTTCACAATGAAGTAGAGTTGTGGTTCTGTTGTCCACTAGATGTCACTGGTGATCTGAACATGTAAACCACTCTTTTGCCTTGTCCAAATACCCACACTTGCGGTCTTTGCACTTGACCACTTGACTACTTATATGACGTATATCCTGTATTTGATCCAAGTGTTCAAGTGAGCATGAAGACCACAAGTGTGTGTACAACTTTTCATTACCTGATGGGACACACTTATAGTGTTGTAAAAACGCAAATTGTTTACAGAGTTTTATTATTATTTTCAATACTTTGCATTTTAAAATCAACTTCTAAATGTCTGTTCAGTAGTCCCTATAGATGACAATTTAATTAAGTGATAAAAAGCAGTTGCAAATGTTGTAAAAAAGTAAATATACTAATCTTTGCAGCAATGAAATGTGTAGCACTTTGTTTTACTACCAAATTATATGTAATATCTTATTATTATTCATATTTAACTTGCATTGGAAAGGTTTCCGTGACCTCTCGCGCGATCTTGGCAAAAAGTCTCACGATTTATTTCCAGAACATGATGCATGATGGGATACACTAACCCTCGAATACCGCTCCGGAGCGGTATAGCGGTATAGTGTGGGTTTAGTGTGCGTTAAGGGCACTGCGCTTTGGTATTTTTAAGACCTGGGACAGTCTTGCGCACTTACTTCCTGTCGCGCGCAAGTGGCCAGGACCGCAAGTGTGGGTATTTGGACAAGGGGACAGTCTGCTTGTCCACTGTCTGCTTGCTTTTTAAAGACACTTGGTGCAGTGGTTACCACATGTGCTCTAGATATTTTGAGCTGTAGTGATCCTGTGGAAAACACCGGTTCAATTCCAGCCTGCAACCTGTTGCAATCTCAACCCAAAAGCCCTAAAACAAAATACCAACACTATGAAAATCACAACACGGGGTTTTTCCAAGTGCATTTGTGAGCTGTAGCGTGGCTGCATACATCAAATTCAAATTCAAGTCTTGTCTATATCCACAGGACGCCATTCAGCGGCAGTACGGCATCCCTCCGAGGAAACTGTGCATGTATCTCCACTATCAGCCGTCATACTATCACCTCCATGTCCATTTCACCTCTCTTGAGTTCGACGCTCCAGGTTGTAGAGTGGAAAGAGCCCACTTGCTTTCTGATGTCATTCAGAACTTGCAGGCAGATTCCAGTTACTATCGCAACTGCAGCCTGGCGTTCCCGCTGCGGGCCGATGATGGTTTGCTCCTCAGGTTTAAAGAGGCTGGGAAACTCTAGAGACCTGATTTTTGGGAACCTTTTTTATTTTATAAATGTTAAGTACCTGTACACTGCTAACCAGTTTTGAAAAGATTTATTATTACTGTATACATTCAATGTAATAAGGTCTTGTTTTGACCTTTGTCTAAAACCGGTTCGATTTTGTCATCACCTGCATTTTTATTAAAGTACTGATTGTTTTTAAATTGTTCGGTTGTGTAATGTCTGTTTTTCATGCTGTGGTTGATCATGTTGACTAGGGCTGCACGATTAATCGCATGCGATATTTAACGCGCA